CGATGGCATCTTCGTCCTCCCGTAGTGGCAATGTCAGATCGAATATGATCTTAGCGAAAGGGGGCAGTTTCATCATCTCCTGCCTCCATAACTTGGAGAGGGGTTGCAAATCGAGATTTCGTTCTTGAGCCTCAACCATAGAGTTGTAATCACCGATGTGAATGGACGGTGACTGAATGCATAATTCAAGAATGTCGGCTTTTTCGAGCGGGCGTAATAGGGGTAGTCTTGCTTCGCGCAGGGACGGGGGTGGTTTTTGGTTAGGTTGTAGTTCGGATAGATCTTCGCTGATGCAGAATTCGTGGGGGACTGAGGAGAGAGACATGGACTCTACTGCTGGCATTTTTTGAGCTCTTGGTGGGATATGATCAGGGAGTAGTTGAGTTAAGCTGAGGATGTGGTGGGAAGAGTTGGGTAATTTCAATGGGGAAAGCGCGGCTGGTGTTATTTATGTAGCTGAGTATGACTGTATTCACTAACAATCTCGAGTGAAGTATACCGGATACCCTTAACGGGTATTATTCATTACAGCTGCTATTCACTTACCCAGTCCGAATAACAGTGACTTACCGCATGGTACTCTTTAGAAGGCCATCATGAAGTCGCAGCGCCTACTTTGAGACAATCCTGGCAAATACAAGCCTCTTCCCATTATCCCTTAATACTTGAACACACTTTGGGGACATACCAGCAAGCAGCAACCATAAAGACTACACCTAGAGGCTGAGGAAGACGTAAACGCCGAGGTATATTCCCATCCTCTCCAATTCTTCCCCGTAATCATTGGGGAGATAACCCCTTGGCCTTGGCGGAGTCTACGGTCAGTCGAACCAATCTATTCTCATCCCTCCATACGGAAGTGAACATCGTTCTGTCTTATACTATTGGAAATATTCACCGGTAGATATATGGAGCCGATGCTCTTCCCTTTATCACATTAAATTAGACGGATGTGACCTGCTATTCAAAACGTTTACTTTGTACGCCAAGATAAGGGTACATCTAGTCAAGACTTGATCCTAAGTCGCGACGTGACTTATGTAGTCCGTAAATGTATATGCCAAAGCCGATCAACCAGCCAACGCACAGGAAAGTTCGACGGTGAAATGCTCTGCGGCAGATACAGATACCAATCATTTTCGTCCACCAGGCTCATAGTACGTGTCAGCGCAGTGCACTCATAATAGAACGGATAGAAGCCACTGTCCTCCCAGTCAATGATTCCAGTGACAATATATTGGCCGCTAGAACCGGGATCCTGCTTCACCATTATATTATCAGTTCGCACATCGCCATGGGTGAACACCGATTCATGTGCCAGTGTTGAGGTGTCATGTTCCAGGAATGAGCGCAGAAGTCCAACATAAGTGGAACTTCCATGATGACGAGCCGAAAATTGTAGATCACTGTACTCTTTTGTTGTTGTAATGCCTTTGAACAGGGCACATTCGTCGACCGTTAGCTCCTTGACTCCCTCTCCACAAGTTCCACCAAGTGTACTAGTACCCTCTTTCTGTCGAATCTGTCTTAGACTGCGAAATATATCATCAAGCTGGTGCTGGATTGAAAGCTTGTTCTCATGTGACAGGTTAGGCCATGCTTGGGTCAAAGTCATGTCGGGAACATATGACATGAATATCACACGAAAAGGGCCAAATGCTACCAGCCCATGGGGCCTCGGAGCAGGAATTTGGGGCGCCCGCTTCTCAAGAAATTGCATGCTAGTGTACTCCGTGTAATCCCTATTCCCATTTATGACCTTGGCAATAACGTTTTCGTTGCACTTAACCACCATGCCTCTTACAGAACTCTGCCAGAGTTGTGGTGAGTTCCAAAGCAGCGTTCGCAAGGATGATACGAGCGATTTCTCATCACCGAGCGAAAATTGATCCGCGTCCGGTCGTGAACATCCTGCAAGCAAAGCAATAACTTCATCGGATAACGGATAAATGACTGTGGCAGTCTCTGCACGGTCGAGGTGACATTCTCTGAACTCAGGCGCCTTCACCTCAGGCTCTTGTTTCTCCTTTAACGCGGCTTTCGCTCCAAGCGCCATTGTAATTCGGCGAGTATAGTTCTTCGGGAAGTTTGATAGCAGGTTGGCTTCCGGGTCACGTCGCAGGTCGTCTTGAAGGCCGCTTAATACACGGCGATTGATAAGCCCGGCATAAGACAGCTGACTGTCAAGGACTTTTTGATGTTCACGGAGGTAAGCCTCAGAGAACATTGACATCAAGTCCGCCGCTGGGTCCTTCTCCAGAATGGCCTGAAACTCGAGCATCAACTCCCTGTTCCAGTGTGCCGCGTCAGGATGGGATAGTGAGACTGGCGCTGGTACACTGCCCATTTTGTCTGAATGTAACCAAGTGCTGCTCATAAGTAATGAAGTCGCAAAGAAGACAGAGGAACTGGGTCAGGGAGCTTGATATAGCGAGGGACGTAGGCGCGGCCTGTGCGAACAGGCTCCGACGAAGTTTCCATCCAAAGCGGCCACGTGCCCGGCTCGGGCATCCATATAATGCCATACAAGAGACAACTTCAAAGTTCTACAGACTGTGATGTCTACTAATGATGATCTTGGTCCTAATATGTTTATTTTTCCACGACTTGACTTGACCTATGCTGTGCCTGTAGTAGTCAGTCCGCATGCAGTAGTATAATTAGTACCAAAGTGGCCGAAGGAGCTTAGTTGCTCAGGGCAGATTCCGCCATAATGTCTACCAGAACCTACAGCTTACCCATATGAGAGAAGGCTAACTGGTAACAGTGTCTTGGTATCCACGCAGGTTAAAGTACAGTACTATTTCTGTCGCAAGTATTCCGAATGAATATCCTCCCACAATGCCTCATACAAAACATCATATCTACAGATTCCACAATCTCAAAATCCCATCCGCGTCCGGAACGACCAGCAGCTGAGCATCACCCGAAACAGCCATCCTTCCCTCAGGGCTGGTGTCAATTTTATCCCCCGCACCTCTCGTAAACTGCTGCTTGAGATTACTTTGGAAATCATACGTCTCCACCGTCCCCTCCCGGGTCCGGAACACCAACTTTCTTCCCCCGTCAACGAACTGCACGCTTTGAATCCCTGCAAAGCTCCGCATCAAGGAATTCTCAAATGCCAGACGCCATTGCATCTGTTCCTCGCCGGTCAACGGATCCCAAAGACGCACTGTGCCGCTGTCCCCTCCTGCTGCAATCACCGTACCGTCAGGGCTCCAAGCTAGGGTGCGTGCCCAGTGGCGGAATCCGTCGAACCGAGAGACGGACTGTCCTGTTTGAAGGTCGTAGACATGGATATGAGTTCTGGGGCTTCCCTGGCTGACAGCGAGGTACTTGCTATCGGGAGAGAAGGCGCCGCTCCAGAGCTGACAGTCCCCGAAACCAAACACGTGGACACAGTCTCCGGAGTCGGCATTCCAAACTCGCGCAGTGCCGTCCCATGCGATGGACGCACCTAGAGTATTGTCTGGGCTCATCCCGGCCCACATGATAGAGTCTGTGTGGCCGAGCAGTCGGTGTCGAAGAGACCGGCTCTGCATGTCCCAGAGATTAACACATGGAAGGAGAGCAGGGTCACGAAGTCCGTGCTGGGTTGTTTCATTCTGACCGAGATAGATCATAGTCTTGCCATCTGGGCTGAATGTGGGGCTACCGAAGGAGGCCAATTCGCCTTGAAGACGGAGTTTGCTTTCTTGTTCGTGTAGACTGACGGCATTTAGGAGGGCCTTTTTCATGGCCTGTTCAATGGCCCCCATGGCTTTCTCGTCACGTTTCCAGCCGTAGTTGGACACTAGGTCTGATACAAGGGGCTGTAGAGTTCTGCTCGTGAGGGTGTCGACGTCAACTGGCCTGTCTTCCTTTTGTCGGAGTCTCCCGCGCTCGTCCAGCTCCCATAGGACGATCACCGCGAAATCATATCCCTCATGGCGGTAACCCTCTCCAGCACTCTCTTCGAGATGCTCGCCTGTTGAAACCAGGACGTACCGGGTGCCTTCTGAACCCGCGGTATTGATAATCTTCGGAGCAAACTCCACCTGCTCCACGGCACACGTATGTCCTCTCAACACATCAACACGTTCCTGCGTCTCTGCATTGAAGATATGGATCTCCCTGTCAATACCCACAGCAATGATCTTACTGTCAGGACTGAGAGCAAGCGCGTTTGCCTTCCCCTCTAGCTGAATTCTTGCTGTTTCCTGACCCCAATATTTGGGGTACCCAGGCGCCCAGGCGGCGGGCTCCCCAGTGGGAGAGCAGAAGTCATGCTCAAGGGCATAGACGTAGTTTTGGAAGAACGTGCTTTGGTTCATGCACCTCATTTTCCCAGGCAACGATAGTGGATGTGGAGATTGGTATCTGTCTTTGGAGGGGATGGAAAAGCTTTATAGTCAGCAAGAGAAATCCAGTGAGGTAGAGTGAACTGAGTCGGTGAATGAATGAACACGAGGCTGTGCTAGTAGCTTTAGATAAGACTGTAGCATTGCGAAAGCCTTGTGAGCCTCACGGCAACTAATTAGCTAGTTACACTCCACCAGGGAATAGGATATTTCCGAGCAATGCCACATTCTGTGTAACCAATGAGACATTGGGGTCTGGAGGCCATGACAGCTGGGCGAGTGAGTCAGTCTATAGTTCAATTGGGGGCTGCAGGCAACAAGCAATTCTGGATCTGCAAGCCCCACTTGGAGGCTGATACTATCTATCTACTTATGCATTGATAGCTGGTCAGTGGTCAGGCGGGGCACGTGCAGGACACAAATGGAACACGCTATTAGTACGAGGTGATGGTCCGTGGCATGAATTTGATTATGCATATCTAACTGGATGGTGAATGAAGGTGGTGTTCGATTAGTAACATGTTCTATATTATGGGATTGTGGCGAGGTGGTTATTCATTGATCAGCTCAGCAATCTAGATCTGGAAACTATGTAATCTGAAGGTAATCATACCCAGTAGGATTGGAACTGGACTAAAGGTATAGTGGCAATCATTTACTATGGCCGTACATGAAGCCCCAGTCGGATTAACTGATCGACTTATAGCTCCATAATGCATGTGGGTTGTAGATAAGATCGATATTCAAATATAGACTCAAAGATGTGACATGTACCATTCGCAATCAGTCATAATCACTTTTCATCCAAATCTAGCAAACCAATCCGCCACATTATATCCAGAGTGAAGAGTGTATCCAACCCCATAAAGAAAACTGGCAAAAGTAACAGCAGATGTGAAAAGAACAAATACACCAGTGATCAAGGCCAGCCCAATCACGTCTAGATATATAAACAAGAATCAATCACACTCGCATCAACCATTTTACTCCTTCTTCTCCTCCTTTGCCTCAGCAGCCTCCTTCTTAGGCTCCTCCTTCTCCTCCTTGACCTCCTCAACCTTCTTCTCCTGTCCATTATGAGGATGCAAGTAATCCGACTCGGACAGACTCATCTTCCTCTTCCTCAACCGGTCCTCCTCAGCAGCAACCATATCCTTCCACAGATCACCCGTGTGCTCCTGCTCAGCATTCTTTCTCTCCTCAGCAGCCTGCCTCTCGGCCTTCACCTTATCCTGCAACAAGCCACGACCCTTCCTCTGATCCTGGATCTCGAACGCCGCACTAGCCACCAACACAGCGAGGGTCAAGCCCTGGGCGTAAACTCTGGCCTGGACCAACTTCTGTGATCCACTGAGGTGCTTATTCCGGTTGACCATGGCGAAACTACCAATCATACTAGCCACCCACGTGGCACCGACAATCTTGTACTTCTCGCGGCGGGCCCACTGAAGCGCGCGATCGAGCGTGGACAGCTGCGACAATTCCTCCTGGCGGAGACGCTCCTCGCGGTTCTCGTACCATTGGCGACTGGCGTTGCGCTGGGCTTCGAAGCTGCGGGAGGCGTGGTCGGCGCTGATGATACCCACGAAGGTACCGGAGGAGGTCACGAGGAAGGATTTCATGGGGAGGGTGAGGTTGCGAATGGTTTGGTAGCGCCTGGTGGCGGCGAGAACACCGGCTGCGCCGCCTACCAGACCGATGAGACCACCGATAGTACCGCCCTTAACGACCTCGCTGGAGAATTGCTGGGTTAGTTACTTGGTTCGAAAAGTGGGTGGCGGGGAGGGCGGAAGTACCGGTAGTGGGCATCTTCTTCTTCTTTGGTGAGGATCTTCATTGTGATGGTATTATGTGAAGAAGCCGTATGTAATTGATTGCAATGGAGGTAGATATGTATGTATTAGATGCTTTTTTTGTGGGGGGAGGAGAGAGAATTGAAGAAGGGAAGAAAAGCAGAGGGAGAATGATGCTAGAAATACGTGCAAAGCCCGGGTGACGTACGATCTGGACGCTCGGGGTCTGCGGCGGAGACTCGGACCATCCGGCGTTTGCCCGGGATCCTTGATAGCGTCGCCGAATTGCAACCGTTTTTACTGCTTTGGTTCTACTTTGTAAGCTGCGTCTCGCGCGAGAACGCCCGACCGTTTATCTAGTGCCTTCCCATTCGCTATGGCATGATCCAATAATACACATTCCGCCCTGCGCCGCCTCCCGAAAAATCTACGAAATAAAACCTGACATACATATGAGATCGAAAAAGGAAATAGAACAAAAAAGGTACAGCCAGAAGAATAGAGAATTAATAATTGAAGGAATGAAAATTCTTCAACGACGGGATCCCTTGCTCGCCGCAATCTGCCGTGCCCGCATCTTACGGAAGCGATCCTCGCCGCTCGCTCCCAGAGGTCGCGCAAACTTGCTCTCCTGTACCATCGTCGGTCGCGGCACCACCGTATAACTCGTGTGAGTCATGTCAGCGCGCGCGCGATTCGCCAGACGAGGAGGCAGTAGCTCACGGGCACGAGCCTCTGCAGCAGTGGCCTGTACCGATGGAGTGCGTGTCGTGCTCAGTTTACTGTTCCAGTCAGTGATACATTCGAGGTAGTAGGGTCTGAGTAAGGAATGAACATACGTAGGATCAAAGGCAGCCTCCTGGTATACCCTCTTCGAGTAATCATCGCTGCGCTGGAGGATCGGGCGCGTCCATTCGGCCAGCAGGCGCTCCGCCATGCGCTTGATGCCGGGCTCTGGACGCTTGCTCCGCGTGTAGAAGACAATGACCTTGCCGATACCACTGGCAACCAGAGCCTCTTTGTTGATCGGCAGTTTTCCCAGCGCAGTCATCAGATCCCGCTGAATGTTGTACGCCGGCAGGGAACCATCATCCAAGGGCTCCAGGAAGAACTTGACCGCTTCCAGCAGGTTGATTTCGGGGTCGACCAGACTGTTAACATATTGGTTGCGGTTGAGCAGCGAGACTACCTCAGGAAGCATCTTCAGCTTGTGCATGGCAGGCTTGCCCTCGCGACGGTTGATAGCGTCCATCTGCGCAGCGTGGGTCATGCGCTTGCGCATATCTTCGATTTCAGCATCGGCCATTTGTTCCAGGTCCTGTTGGAGTCAGCCATCACCCAGCGAAGTCATATAAGTGAACATACAATGCCATCGGCCTTTCTGAACCGTCTCTTAGTAGGCTTCTTCAGCGCCTCGTCCATCGCGCGATCAAGAGCTCTCCGCCGTTCTAAACATAGCAATTAGCATCATCTATGCCATCCTCATCAGTAAGAAACATACTCGTAGCCGGATCCAACAACTCCTCTTCCGCAATCTCTGCCTCCTTCTTCTTTCTCCTCCGACTAGCCTTCTCCTCGTCACTCGCGCCTCCGTCCTCCAATTCCCTCATCCTCCGACTCTTCTTCTCGCGACGTCCCTCTCTCTTCCTCTTCGAGCGCTCTTCATCCCCGCCCTCTGTACGCTTCCGCTTATGCCGTCCGATCAGCTTCAAGTTATCCTCGTCAATCGCCAGCTGCGGCCGGTCCTCGATATCGACATTCTCGGGATCGAAGTCCTCGAACTGGGCTTCGTCAACTTCCGAAAGAATGGATTCGTCGTCGGAGATCTTGTCTTCGTCGTCATCGTCATCATTATCGCCACCATTGTCTTGCGCGGCCTCTTCTTCTCCTTGGTCTTGTTCTTGTTCCTGTTGCTCTTCGGCTTCTGGCTCTGCCTCCGCCTCTACCTCCTTAGCGGGTTCTTCATCCGAAACGGCGTCGCCGCCAGGCGTCGGGGGCGCTTCCTGCTGTTGTTCTTGTTCATCGACTTCAGCGGCGGGCTTGAGCTCGGGCTCGGGACTGCGCGGCTCGGACATGATTGTGTCTTGTGAAATGGCAGTTGTGGGGGGGTTGGGTGAATATGTTACTTTCTCCCCTGATGAGGAGTGGTCGGGGTCGGCTAGACCAGGTTTCGTGAAGCGTAGATGGGATAGATCGATTCTCAAGACCTTATTTGCCGTGATTCCACTTCTGTTTGTACACTGTATATGCTTAGGCGAGTTATACCTTAAGCGACGATAAAAGTAAAGAGAAAGGGAAAGAGATGCGAGAGAGAAACAGCGAAAAGAAATGGCAGGTTTAGTAAGTAGTAACACCGAGCAACCGCGCAAGAAGTTGAAGCAAGCAAGACCCAAAGCAAGCAGATTCCGCCTCCGCGGTGGTCTGTGCGCGGCAGAATCGAAACCCATTCATTCATTCATTCATTAACTAGTGAGTTATTCAACCCATTCATCATTTCTTGAACATACATCTATCTATCTCTCCATTGAACTTTTTTGCCCATAAACCGCTATCACAATGTTCGCTCCAGGTGAGATACTTTTTAAATAGATGAAATGCTTGCATTATGCTAATTGTTACCAGGCCAGGAACAGCTCTCCAAGGAGGAGATCAGAGTATTTCACCCAATTCCCTCTTCATCGTCATCATCGACCCCGAGCAGAACATAACATACTGACATTCTATTTTTCTTTCTTTCTAGGCCGGTGAGGTCCAGGCTAACCAGACCATCCGCATGGCTGTCTCCGGTGGTATCCTGCTTTACCTTTGTGAGTTCTTCGCATGCCCCGGAATTCTGTTCTACGAACTAACAATTGATCCAGCTCCCTTCGCCATTGACTTCGTCAAGAAGTTCCTGTAATCGCGTGTCGACTACTTTTGTTTTCCACTTTACAACACACAATGCATACAAGGGATATGAAGGAAGGGCATCGCATAATGTATTATATTGTACATCTCGAGTTGCAGAAATGAATATGAATCTCAAATGACCAGCTGTCACGGTTACTTTTTATGCTCTATTAAACCACGTCTCGTGTGCAAGACGTGCGGATACCAGCTCCTATAAACTCCATGCTCCAAACAGCACAAGCCAAACAACCAGACAGTCCCTCAATTCATGATATGATGGAATCGCAATCAAGCATCAACAGCATCAGCATCAGCACCGGCATCAGTAGTTCACGGCTCCCCCGGGAAGCTTCTGTGCCTCCTCAAAGTCCTTTCTCACTGCTTCGAGTTCCTTCTGCAAGTGTTGGATTTGCGTGTGGTAGTCATCCAATATCTAAGAATTCATTAACATATGTAGTAACCATGACTGGAGGTAAGGAACTTACCTTCTTGGCCGTCTTCATCGTCTGCTCGTCCAGCTCGTCGTCCGCCTGCGCCGCCGCGCTGGGTCCGGCCCGCTCCATCTCCTGCTGTAGACGTCGCGAGTGTTCCCGGATCGCCAGCATGCGCGCCCAGATCTCCTCCGCCCGTCCGTTCAGTGAGGGGTCAAAGACCGACCGCTCCAACTGGCTGAGCTTCTTCTTCAGCTCCTCCTCCGCGTCATCCATGGCGTAACCGCGATTCCGCAGCACTTGCGTCTTGGCCGCAAGTGCCAGACACCGCTTGCTGAGGACGAGGTGTTTCCGGCGGCAGTCGGCGATCTTGACCGAAATCTTCAGATCGTGCCGAGACAGCAGATCCGACAGGCAGTTGTTGATCTCGTGGAGTCGCGTCTGCATCATGGTAAGGAAATCCTTCTGGCGCTGCGCGCGCTTGCCCAACTCGAAAAAGCCCTTGACGAGCACAGGAACATATCCCGAATCGGGCCGCTTCCGCAATGCATCCTCCCATTTTGTGTCATCGTCCTCCGGACCCGGCTGGTAGAAAGGCGCCATTTCTTCGCCGACATTGTTATACAAGTACGCGCGGAAGGGAGAGGAACGGCTGGACGCATCCCACTTATCCTTTACGATCTGAATCTGCATCGGTACGGTGCGGTGGACTACAACCATTAGTACGTCTAATATAAAACATCGAGAATCATTCTCAACATACCTCCGGTAACTGCACGGCCCGGCTCCCACAGACTCGAACCAAGCTGTGCCGTCGACTGACCCATCTGAGTCTGGCCCAATTGGGGCTGCTGCTGTTGCTGCGCCGGTTGCTGTTGCTGCTGCTGTCCTCCTAGTAGAGAACCTCCGAACAAACTCGGTTGTTGCTGCTGTTGTTGAGGCTGCTGCGTCTGACCCAGCCCACCAAACAGACCACCACCCTGCTGCTGCGACGCCTGCGACTGCTGTTGCTGACCGAACAACCCTCCTCCACCTCCTCCAAGGGGTTTCTGCCCGAACAAGCTCCCTCCAGTAGTCTGCTGTTGTTGCTGCTGGGGCTGTTGCGTCTGCCCCAGTCCTCCGAAAAGACCACCACCGGCTGGCTTCTGCTGGGTCGCGGTTTGGCCGAACAGTCCGCCGGATGGCTGCTGAGTCTGCGTGTTTGTGGCGCCGCCGAAGAGACCTCCTCCCGACGGTTGCTGAGTCTGCGTCGCACCTCCGAACAATCCGCCCGTGGTGTTCTGCTGCGTAGTGTTTGTCGTCGAGGTATTTCCGAAGAGACCGCCACCTCCACCGAAGGGACTGGGCTTATTTGCGGTGTTGTTGGCTTGTCCAAAGAGGCCGCCGCCCGTGGACGGGGCCGCAGCTTGACCGAAAAGAGACATTGCGAGTTGCGTTGTGCTTAGGTTGAATGGCGAGGAATATAAGGGGCGATATTGAGAGCAACACGGTAATGGAAGGAACAATTGCAATAAATAAGGTCGGTCACTCCGCAACGAAGGCGCAATAACACCCAATCGAACCCAAGTCGGCAAATACCGATTTTCTATTAAATGTCAACAATGTAAGAATAAGCAGGTGCAATGATGCAACTAGCCCACAACACACAGCCAATTTCGACAAGGGAAGAAAGGGGATACCCACAGACAAGCAGCAGAAATAGAAGCGCAGTGCGCGGCATCAACAACAGCCGGGCAATGCTGGCGTGAATCCATCGGGAAGCTTTGTTTTTCGCACGGTTACGGTCACGTGTGGAGCTCCCTCATGCCTGAGGCAACAAAGAAACCAGCTTCCTATTTATGCCTGATAATTCCGGCGACTAGCAGATTACCTAACCCATCCATCCCAACCAATCAGCAACGAGCAAAAACCACTCCTTCCAAACTCGCAGCTTCACCTTCCACTCGGACCCGGCGAACCATTTCCATCAATTCGATCCCCCTCTCCTCGACTTTTCCCCCCAGATCCGGTCCATTGAGTCCTACGCCCAGCGGTCACCATGGCGTCCAGAGAGCCTCAGTACGTTGAAATCCTGCCAATCCCCCAACCGGCCACTTCCACGGAGTTACCCTTGACTACTACTACACCACCACGACATATAATACGACACATACATATATACATACATACATACTCGCAACGCAATTGAACAATGACCAGCTCTTTCTAACGGAAATGACTGCCCCAGGTTTAACCAGCAGGTGCTGGTCGACACGACCCCCATGCCCGATCACATCCCCAAGGTGGAGGAGATCGGTGCTACGTCGGCGCCGCTGTACAGCGCGGCGTACTTTATCGGAGACCGCTGCAAGCCCTACAACGACGACTTCATGAAGTGCAAGGACGAGTCGAACGGGCGCGGAGAGCTGGACTGTCTGAAGGAGGGTAGAAAGGTGACGCGCTGTGCGGCTAGCGTGTATGTTCCCATGCTTTTGTTCAATTGGTTTTCCAAAGGGCCATTGAGCGATGATACACCGCAGAAGGAATACTGATTCAATGGATCTGCAGAATCAAGGACATCAACACCCACTGCCTGAAGTCGTTCACTGCTCACTGGGAGTGTCTCGAGAACAACAACCACAAGCTCTGGGAGTGCCGTGCGCAGGAGATGAAGCTGAACAGCTGTGTTTTTGAGAAGCTGGTGCGTTTCCTCTTCCATTTACACCCCCATATCGCGCCCTTATATCTATTCCTATTCTTTCCGGGCCATGTCCTGCAGACTAATACTAATTAAATGGTATAGGGCCTGAAGAAGGAAATCCCCGGAACCCCCGAGAACGTCGTCCCCGTGCACTTGCGCCCCAAGCAGATCTACTCCGACTGGCCTGGTCGGCAATATTAAAAGAAATACAAAATGAAATATTTTGAGGGGAGCATATATCATTGTGTTTTTCTTAACTGAACCACTACCACTAACTTAACGTGTCTTTTGTATTCCGGTGTTTTCCTTTTGTTTTTCTCTTCCGTCTCTCTGGTTGACGTCTGTTTGTGTATATATTAGCATCAGGAATGTCATTGATTCCGAGTCAGTCATTAATCTGTTGGTAGATCTTGGCGATTCCTTGTAGACCACTAGTAGTAAGTATAGATAGTATGATTGGTATCAGATGATGATAATGATGCATACACTATAATCCAGGCTCCAGATCTATAGACTGTAAATCACCTAGAATACAAAAAGTGTACAACCAGAACACCGCACAGAAATATGCAGACAGCTAGCCACTGCAATGAAGTATAACACCTCAAAGAGAAGTAGAGAAGTAGACAAGACAACCTCTAATAATCAACCCGACACAATAACATAAGAAATGAATAATAAAAGAGAGAGGTATAGGTATAGGTATAATAAGTAAGTAAGAAAAAGAAAGAGAAGAGAAGAGAAGAAAAAGGTATATATGTATATGTACCAGAAAAAGACAAAAGAAATGAACTGATGGTAATAAAATCGGTGCATAAAGAACCTCACGGGGCCTTATCACCAGACGAAGAAGGTGAAGATGAAGACGTAGGAGACGCGGACACCACCCTCCTAACCCTCCTAAACAGCATCAAGAACACCAACCTCGTCTTCACCTCCGCCCAACCCACCTTCAACTTCTCCTCTAACCTGCGGTCTCCCCGCAGTCTCATCCAGATCAGAAGCATACCGAGCAACGCCAAATCAACCATGATCTGCCGTGCGGCGACCCAAACCAACCACTTTAGCCAGGCCCACAGGCCTGTTCGTCGACGATGAGCTAGCGCTCGCGCTTCCAGTTGTTCTCGCACGGCGGCGATCTCGGCGGTCATGGTCGTCAAGGCCTGCTCGACGGTGCGACGCCAGCGTTTGGAGTCGTCCGGGGGTGGTTGTGGTGGTCGTCGTCGTCTTCGACTTAGGGTAGTATCGTGATCGTAGTCTTCCTCCTGGTGGGAGGGGAAGCTGTACCCTTGTTGTTGTTGATGGTAGTCATGCGATTCGTGACGGTCGTGAGTGTTGTTGTAGTCTTCTTCTTCCTCCAGATGTTCTTCTTCCTCGTCGTTGTCGTCTTCATTCTCGAATAGATTATCCTGCGCTTCCGCGTACACTTCTTCCTCTTCCTCCTCTTCTTCTTCTTCAGGTGGCTCCTCCTCCATCTGTCGTCGAAACCCCGACTCCGCCTGACTAACCGGACTCAACACCCGTAATCTCTCACTCCCTCTCCCTCTAGCCGTGGTAGCAAGTAACTGCTCATACTCCGGACGAGTCAATCTATTACTAGACTGCTGGAACTGCTGCTGTTGCTGCTGCTGGATCCGTGCATGATCCCGTATGGACACCGCTGCCGCCGAAGCCACGGGACTACCGAGGCCCTGAGACGACGACTTAGACGACGAAGACGGGTTGGATTTGATCTGATCCCAGACGAATTCCAATTCCGCGACGAGTTCCCTTGCCTCGGCTGTTTGGGAAGCGTAGTTATGCATGGTATCGATGAGAGTGGAGATGTAGCGTCGTTTGGCTTCTGTGCGGGAGAGGCCTCGTTGGGCGTGCCATGCGTCCCTACATCATCAGTATGATTCATTAGCATACTGATACCGACAGCATATAAAAGAGAAGAATGGGGAGGTATACCATTTCTCACACTCCATAAACACATCCGCGGTATTCCCGACCGGTCGATCCATGACGCCTTCGACATCGCCTTCTACATAACATCAATTAAATCCTTCGTCAGCATATCCCATTCCATTATCATCAACGCAACACAAACTCCCCAGTGGTCAAAAATGAAAAGGAAGGGAGACAAATACCCATGCTTTGTTTATACAAGCCATAAAGCTTCAATCTCTCCGACGCCGGCGGTCTAGCGGTCCCCGTGCGGGGAATGCGTTTCACCGTGTTAAGGGCATGGACGAAGACACGATCTGAACGTCATATCGATCAGCATATTATTTCTCCCCCCCCCCCGATTATATCCATCCCTCCATTTAATGTTATCCAGTGTAGTATGTAAAGTAGGTATAGGTCGGGGGGATCAACGCACCCACTGAATCCGACATGGTGCGAGGAACAAGACGTCGGACGGCTTCAGCAACATGAGAGCAGACGGGGACGGGAGTACGCGCGATGATGGGTCCGCATCAGTGTCTTGCTGTGTCGTGTCTCTGTATTGGAGAGTAGTTTCGTTGTGGTGTGTTGTTTATCGGTGCGACCAAGAGAGTGTGTGTGTGTGTTGAGTGTGTTGGAGTCGGAGCTTCCCCGGATTTCGGCCAAGGGAGAGGAAGAGAGAGTGCGCGCGCAGGACTGGTGATAGTTGGTTCTGGGGGAGAAATAATTGGAATTGGATCTGGTAGGATTCAGCACGCGTGTAGAGCTGGTTGGTCGCGTGGGGATTGTTTGGGAGGGAAGGAGTGTGTGAGGCTGCGAGCTGAGAGATCGGTGGTGTGGTGGTTGTGGTTGATTGCTTGATGGATGATGGGGAGCGATTGAACCGCGGTTGTCGGAGTTTAGTCCCTCTGGCTGCTCAGCCAGCCCAACTTGTGATTGATCGGCTATCTATCGATCTATTAGATGCACCCTACTTCGCGCCATTGCATTCATGCTTTTGACTTATTTTAAAGTGACTTCTTCATGGACAATACTATCATCAAAGATAGCTTTCTTTTTTTTGTAGATGTTAATGTATAAGTATATTCATTATAGCTTCGAACCTAATTATATACAAACAAATCGCTAATAGGCTTTCATTCCTTCCCCTCCTTCTCATGCGCCGCATAAGTATTCTCCGTATCAATGGGTTTCCCCGTCATCACACCGGGCATATCCTCGTCCGCGATTGGTGGCCCTGTGAAATGCTTGCGCGCGTACACCACATACCATAGGACACTGATCGCCGCAAAACCGGCAAACACCACACTCGCGTAGTTCATGCTACTCGCATCCACCGGCAACGAGGTGGGCATGCAGAAGAGCACCACAGCCAGGCAAATCCAGCAGATGGATACGATGTTGATCGCATATCCGAATCGTCCCAGCGAGAAGCTGGATTCCTTGACGGCTTCTCGTCCCCGAAGCACGCAAATGAAAATGGGAAGGCCATACGAAATTGACAAACAAATGGTGGCTACACCCGTAAACGAGTTGAAGGCCGCCGAGGAGCCGAAGTAGATCAGCCCTAACAGGCAATCGACGACAGTGGAGAGGATGATGGCCCACACTGGCACATCTAACTTCTTGTTCACTTTCCTCCAAAGTCGGAAGCCGGGGATGGCTCCGTCACGAGCAAAGGCATACGTGCATCGACTGGCAGCCGTCAATGCGCCAATTCCCGCAAACACCAGGATGCCCAGCACCAGGAACAGCAGCCCGAAGCCTCCGCCAGCGGAGCCGGTGGCTGTCTTGAAGATAAGTCCGATAGGCTGGCCGCTGGCCACAGCCAAAAGGGTCTGCACCGGGGGCAGAACAAACATGATAGGGATCAGATAGACCAGACCTGTGATACCGGCCGCCACCACCGATAGCACAATGGCCTTGGGGACCTCCCGATGCGGGTTTTGCACTTCCTCACACATGGCGGCCACCATGCCGTATCCAGTGAGTGTGTATGCTGCCTGCAGCAGACCAACAAAGAACGCCCAACCAGCAGGCCTACCATCATCAGCACGGGTCCATAAACCAACCCTGGAGGTTAAGAAAGGGGCAGACATACCATCCACTCTGCGAAGCATCATAATGCGCAAAAACAAACTCAGCATCCCGTCTCTCATCCGCCATGGTCAAAAGCGTAATGAGAATAATCACGACACTCCCGGCCGTCCAATAAATGCATACTTTATTGATCAAATCCAACCACTTGGAAAAGAAGATATTCACCAACGCACAGCACCCAATCACCGCCCAAAACATGAGAATGGTCTGCCAAGTGTTGGCGACAAAGTCCTCATTCCAGAGCGAAATGGCACTGAGGATCAACTGCCCTCCAGAGAAGGTGATACTGAGTGTGACGGTCCAATTGCCCACGAGGGTGAGCCAGCCATCGATGAAGGACATGGCGGGGGCCCATTTGCGCGTGGAGAGCATGGCACTCCAGTAGTAGACTCCGCCGGCGGTGGGGTAGACGGCGCAGATCTCGGCGAGCGAGGCGGCAATGGCGATGGAGATGAGGGTGACGACGACCCAGCCCCAGATGACGCTGACGGATTGGCCGTCGGTGAGGGTGATGTAGAGGGTGGTGCTGAGGCCAAAGGGGGCGGCCATAATGGCGAAGGAGCTGTTGATACATTAATTTAGTGAGTGATGTCCGCTTTTCCCTACTAATAAATATATATACTATGCTGGAATGGGAAACATACAGGCCGAGAATACTCATCATACTCAAATTGCGAGGCAATTCACTCTTGTAGCCCATTCTAGCCAACGCCTCATCGGCGTTGGCGTCCATGGAAGGTTGTCGCATGATGGGCAGTCAATTCAGGTAATTGATCAAGAAGTCGTGTGTGTCTTTTCTTTATGAACTGATCAAGAAGTAGGTGTGTATTCCACTAGAATTATCTCTCAGGAATTCAAGTTCTCTTAATTTAGGATAGACATATCGTCATTAAAAAGTAAATCCAGATCCCAAAAGTAAGGGATGGGAGTCGAGTGAAGAAAATAAAACAGGAGAAAAGGAGAGGGAAGAGGAGGGAAACACGAGCAGGATAAATGAAGGGGAATAAGAAGGAACAAGAGAGAAGAAGAGGAACAGCAAAGGCAACTTAACTTTAGTTCCAGTTCCTGAACACAACTGCTGCTTGCTACATCATCCCCCCGCACTTACTTACTTACAACTGATTTAACTCTGTCAATTCCATTAATCCACCCAGGGATATCCACACCCACAAGAGCATAACGACAACGACAACAAGTGCCAGAAAGTGACTCCATCAAATTGCCACTTGCCAATGAGAATCCTCCTCCCCGCGATAAGCTCCCCGACTAAATCTCCTCCGGTGTCGGGCTAGTGGTCGGCGGTCCGAGACCGCGCTGATAAGACATGATTAACAAACAACCCTTTTCTCCCTGTTAGATAGATAGTTAACAAGGCGATGACTTGATCCTATCTTTTATACTTCTTATCAGATTTGTATATAGTATCTTTGGGAAATACTTCATCAATGAAGAAGAAGAAGATATCATCAGTCCCACTTACCTGACTACTTACCTACCACCCATATAACTAACTACATACCTGACTGGGTTCTTAAATGCATCCATGCATACTATTCTCCCCGCAATCTGCACGTTCGGAACCACTACATCCTTTTCTGCAGTGTCGTGTACATCATAAGCTAGGGACTCGTGACACTTAACAAACACGAGGGCGAAACAAAGCTTACTTATTACTTATTTTGTAGCACTGATGCCTCGGAAAGGGAATCCTGCCGGATAAGTTGGACTGACTGGGTCATAGCCTCCGCGCGGTTCTCCTCTCCTTCTCCTGTGGGTGGGGAGGGGGAAGTCTCCGTCACATCCGCTCGCTCCTCACTTTTGCGAACCATGGTGCTGAACTGCCTGGTTCGTGGGGTAACAGGGTGGGTGCCGGATCTGGGTCTGTCTACGAGGGATTACTACTGCCTAAATTGACTACATCTAATCTTAAATAGTACTGGTAGTAAGTAGTAAAAATACTGTAGGGCATATTTGGAAGGCGAGGATATATCTACTTCAGTTATAGATTATATATACATATATATAGCACTCTTCCTCGGGTCAAATAATAGTATGATTTCTAGCGATTTCGGAGTTTCACAACTATCCATTCCAACGTACATCACGGCTGGTGTCTTGTCACTACTTATTAAGTAGATGACGGCTGCCACATCCATTGCCACCCCCACACCAGCAACACTCGAGCCTCATGTCGGACTCCAGTGCTCAAACAGGGCATCAGGCAAGGATGAGCGCCACGGAATAAAGATAGAGAAAATGCGGGGGAGAAAGCGGGCAGGAGGGGGAGGGGATAACAAACACATCAGCTCGACCGAGAGGGTAAGATCCGAACGAATAGGAAAACACAGGGGAAGGGCATGTAGGTGGGGGGTATCAAACAGGGGGAAAGTGGTTCACTATAACAGAGACAAGTCCATCATCTTCGCAGGAGAAAAATCCATTGATATCGAAATGGAAGTTTTTGTGTTTGTCTTTCGTGATTTTCTTTTTTTGTGTGTGTGACATGTCTAGTGTACGTGCGGACCAGAAGTAGAGGGGCGAAAGTAGGCCCCAATATCTCTCCAACAGATAGAGGTAAAGTAGGGAGAGGGTCCAGGCAGGCAAAGGAGGAAAGGTGACAAGGGGCACGGTAGATAGGAGGGAAGATAGGGGCAACGAAAGCAGGGAAGAGGGATGGATATCGACGGGGGGAAACAAATGATCGCGGGAACGGCGGTGGGTGGGCCAGCCCGGGCATCAAGAACGCCTGGCGTTGGGTTGGGTATGGCGGATGGCCACCTGGCCGACTTGCCCACCGCCACTTTTTGAGGGGGGCCAGCCGGTCGCTCTCCTTGAATCTGTATACTGGACTCCTTCGCCTTCATCACTTCAATCAACTCCCTCGCAGACAATGAAAACAAGATCATGCATGGCCTCCAGTAGACAAGGCCTCAAGTTGAGTCGCAACCAGCCAGCTAGCTTCAACTCCGTCGTCAATGATCATCGCCCAAGTGATCACGAAAAGAACCGTTCAAAAGCACAGAAATGGGGGAAATAAAACAAGCAAAACAATTCGCAAACGCCCAGTCATGCAGTCGTCAATCCAGATAAGTCGTTACATGTTGATGCAGTGATAATAGCACGCCAAATACAATGAGGTCACGCACGCACGGCCCCCAGCATCATGGGCTCAGAACGTTGCAGATGTCGTCCGTTCCATCCAGGCCAAAGCCGGCCATGTCGACGGAGTGCAGAGAACCCGGGCCACCACGGCCCAGAGAGATATCTGAGGAAGCATAGTCATGCTTCAGCCGTTCATGAGGTCCAAAGAACGGTCGGGTCTCTTCGTTGGGGGTGTTACCATCACCCGCTGCCCAAGGCCCATGCTGCCAGAACCTTGTGTTGGCTTGTTGGTCCCCGAAGAGGTCATGGTGGTCGTGGTGGGTCTCGGTCCCGTGGTTGGTAAAGTCATTGGGTGACTGGAACCGCAGATGCGACCGACTGAAACTCGAGCATGGAGAATCGGCATGCAGCGGGAAATCGAGGTTTGGGAATGGCATGTCCTCGACAGTGGTGATATCGATGGTCGGGTTCTCGGTCTGCTGTGCCAGCGCTGACGCTAGCCGGAGGTTGGAGGCGGAGCTTTGGCGGCTGTGACTAGCCGACCGTTCGATGGCTCGCTGAACGAAACTGCCACACGTCTTCAGAATCTTTTCCTGATCCTCTGGGGAGAGGCTGGCAAAGTAGTCGTTTGCCAAAGAGGGCTTGGGCAGTTCGGGTTGGCAGGGAGTCAGGCCATAGGTCTTCTGAGCATACTCTGTAAACCCGGAGGGCATGTCGTATGGGGACTGGTAGACGGTCGGAACCTGCTCCCGTTGCTGCTCAAGGTAGGCATACTTGCGAGGCAACTTAGTGGCGGCCAGGCTACCTCCATTGGCGGCCTCTTGCTTGATGTTTTCCGACTCCTTTTTCTGCAGCACGTCCAGCCGATCCCGATGACTCACCAGCGAGAAGCGGAGCATTTGTAACAACCGTGTCACCTCCTCGGACCGCATGTTGAGGGGTTGCAGCGGCAACAGTGTTCCATCCGGTGCCCGAGGCTGCACTCGCTGCTGAGCCATGGCCAGTTCCAATTTCTCCAACCCGCTCGGCGGTGGTACCGAGCCCATTGGGCCCAGGAGGGTCTCTACGACCAACTCCGGGCTGACAATGGTATACCCGGCGAAGACATTGGCATGGTCGGTGATCTGGGCCAAGCGACGACGGGCAATGAGCTCTCTGACATTGGCGAAATTATTGGCGGGGAGGTTATTGGGGGTCTGCTGCTGCTGCTGCTGCTGCTGTTGATGGTGAAGGTGATTATGAAGTTGCTGCGGACGGGAAAGGGATTGATGATGGTGAGATTTGGTGACCTGGGGATACGGAGCATGGCGGGCTGATTGAGTTGGCAAGGATCGGTAAGCAGACGGCATCGCAGCAGGGGAGGAGGCAGTGGGAGGCGCAGGACGAGGAGGGGCAAGAGGAGCGTGCTGCAACAGGGAAGGGCGGCGGGATGCGGCAGCAGCAGCGGCGGCGGCGGCGGCGGAGGTGGTGGTCGTGGTGGTCGTGGCAGCAGCAGTAGTGGCGGCAGCAGCAGAAACGGCGGCAGCAGCAGCAGAGGCGGTCAAGGGAGACAGGAGATGAGGGTGAGGGGCACCAACACCAGCACCAGCATAATGATGAGGCGGAGCGAGATGGTGGGGGTAGGAGGAGGGGAGTCGGGCCATCACGGCGCCGAGCGACTTGACGCTGTCCAGGAAATTCGCGCGCGGGTTGTGGATAGGCACGCTAGGGCTGTGCGTATACTGTGCCCTACACTCGGTGGAGGATTCGCCCAGGTAATACCAGATCTGTTCGCTCTTGCTGAGGTCGACCTGCGTGGATGGTGGGGCGGACTGGTGGTTAGGGTGATTAGTGCTGTCCACCGTCTCGAACTCGGCCCACTGATACGGAGATCGCCCATCGCCAAATGGATTCCCTGCCACCGGCACTGCCGATTCCAACTCCTTCCGCGCCTCGGGTTTGCGGGCCAAGTGGGCTGGTAATGGCCTGGTACCTGGAGCCAGCGGTGAGAAGTTGCTCCTGCGAACAACCAGCATCCACCGGTACGGTAACTCAATTACGTCCCTACACATCGAACGGTTAGCCCCTGCGATATCATCCTTGCCCGATCGGGTAATCTCCAAACAAATGGAGGCCCGCGGGGCTCTTCATGCAGCCTCTTCGTGGGGCACCAAAGAAAAACTTACCCTCGTGGCAGCACCTTGACCAGTAACGTGCGTTCCTCCGGTCGGTTCTGAAGCACAATCGCACCGTTAATTTCCTTGTCCGCCTGGAACTGCACCAGATCCCCAGCCACCAAGCCCCGTGCCGTCTGGATGAGCTTGCGGTCATAGTCGGGGGATTCGCCGCTAGCCATCCAGGACGGCTTCTTCTGGCGATGGTACTTGCACTTGAGGTCCACACTGGGGATCGAGTACTGATTCCCATCGTCCGCAATCACGGCGATCTGACCCTGCTCCACCTGCACACCCGCCAAAAGTGCACAGGTGGCGTGGTATGACCGTGTACACTTGCCAAAGTTGCACTGGAAGCATGCCCCGCGCACTTCACGACAGAAGAGACACTTGAGACCCATGCGGGCCTTGGGGATCTTATCCACATCACACACCACCTCCTTGCCAGACTCATCGCGGAGGATGGAGGTCTCTTCCGTGTACAAGGCACAGC